AACCTTGAGTGGAATCTGGAACTATCTTATTTTCTCACCTTAAACTAAATATTTTCTGAGAACTTGCATATTCTTTATTATGATGGTTGTAGTTCACTGCCTTGAGGATTTAGGGCACCTTGGATGTATCTGGAGTGTCTTGTCAACATTTGCCCTTCAATCCCAGCAGGTGTGTTTAGTTGGTTCAGAGAGCTTGATAGCCTCCTCTTACTCTCCATGGTCCTGCCTATTACATATTAAGTGGGTGGTTAATTCCAGATACCCAAAAAGCTCCTTTATATCAGTTGACAATTTTCATTAAATATAATCCTAAATTTCTGGGATGTGATTCCTAACTATGCCATTTCTCCTGGTAGAGTTATTTGCAGGGATGTTATAATTATAAAAATAATACCCAGAGAAGCAAGATGATATTAAAAAATGAGTCCATATTGACAATATAGGTGCAGGTCTGTAAGACTCTAGTTTAGCTGCAGGTTAAAAGCCAAAGAACATGTTTCTCCAAATTTCTTTTCTTGCTACTTTCTTTGATCATTTTTATTGTGCTGACTACAAATTCTTTTGTGCATGTTCTGCAGCATATGAGTCTAGAGACAAGATATTTTGATAAACAGGGCTGTAAGGGAATGAGTATGTCCCTGTTTTTGGAATTGAGCCCTAAGCCAGGAATAATATCGGTGTGGCGCAGCAGTATAAATTAGTGTTTTCCACACTGATTCTAACAAAACAGGCATAATTATAAGCAAGAGGAATAAGCAAAATGACAAAATAATGTTTTTTATAAATCAATTATGGCTTAGAGTAGTGTGGAATGTCAGCTATCTAGTCTTAAATGTTTGAAATATTAAGGGGAAAGCCCCACTTAGACTAAGCATTTCCTCATTCTGCATGACAAATGCTGGTGATTGGTTCAGTCTCCAATACATCCATTATGGGAACTGGACTCACCTTCCAAAGCTTTGTTATGATGACATCTCAAGTTGCCTCCACACACCCATGCATGGTCTTGGAAGTTTACGTCATCTGCTTTGTGAGATCTGGGTTTCTACTCTCTGTTTCTATTGTGTCTCCCTGATGGCTTACCAGATTATTTTCAAGTTCAGGATGCCCCTATTTCTATTTGTATTTCTTTGGAGTTTAAAAATACTGTATATAGTTATTAGTTGCAGCATGGGGCCTCTGTGGGGAGAAGAGAAAGCAATGGTAGACTTAGAAGTTGGGGTGGGCTGCACATCTAAATAGGAAACTTCAAGGCCAACAGTATCTTACAGGAATTGTTCAGTGTAGGGGTTAAGATCCATAAGCTTGCCAGTGAAATCTACTAGAAAAATAGCTGAGGAAAGGAAAGATTCTTAAATTCTTGAACTAAATGGTTGAAGAAGCATATTTCTGTGTTCTAAAAAATAGTCTGACGTCCTGAAAACAACAATTTTTGAACTTATTTCACTTTAATAAAAGAGTATACTGAAACTGCAGTCACTCCAGCATTTTAACAAGAAAGATAATTGGCCCAAACCAGAAATATCCCCCAGCCAAGGTCACATGTTCACTAGAGGAAAACAGGAGGTTTCATAGTTTTCTGTGTGGCCAAAGGGAACCAATCAACATCGAATATGTATGTTTCTGGAGGCATTCAATGGTCTAGTCAAGTTGAATGAATTTGAAACGTTTTTATTTTATTTTATAAACAGTAGAATTTTGAGGAAATGAATAAAAACTACTCTGATTTAGACAGACAGATAGTCAGTGTTTGAAAAGGAGAACATTTGTGTGATTCACACATATTAACTGCAACACTGTTTGCTTTGGGTTTTGTGTCATGCTTTTTAGGAAGAGAGCTGTGTTAAACTATGGTAGCAAAAGAATCAGGAGTCTGCACCTTACAAAAACATTGTGTGGTTTCCAACTAATAGCTTTTATTAAACATTCATAAAACCTGTTAGTTGGAAACCACACAATGTTTTTCAGATCTGCATTGTCCTTTCCTGAATGTGTCTTGAATACTTGTCAACCAGATAAAATAACTTCTGCTTTCTGCTCATCTTTAGCAGAAAATAGTTACCACCTATCTTTTGGTAGGTGAATTTGAAGTAAACAGGTTAGAACCAAATTTACCAAACATAAAGCAAAGAAGCCTTGCTAAAGAAGATTTAACCTGCATTCTGCAAAACTAAGTCAACATTCATTGACTATTTATCAGAGTATAACAAGTGCTGTATGTGCATAGGCTTAATTCTCCAGATTTTATTGTTCTTGTTTTTTCACAGTGTTTGCAGCAGCACACAGATGTCTTGCCAGCTGTTTTTTTAGAGGCTTGTGAGAGTTCTCACACAGGTAGGGAAAAACAAGATGACAACAAATGCAATGGTTACAAAATCAAAGTTCAGATGGAGACAAATCAGACCAGCCAAAGTAGGGTTATGTAGGGTGGGAAGAAAACTAAACAGAAGAGGCCATTTGGCCATAGTTTTCATACATAAAATCACACCAGTTACTTAAATTCTTCATTTATGGATTCTTAATATCCTTACATCCATAAAATAGAATCCATAGAATTCTTGAGTGCTTGTCTTAGGTGGTTCATTCCTGCCCATAGGGTAATGCTGACCTATCCTCATGATGAAGCTTCAACCTTATCTGCTGATGTGGCTAAGGTATAATGCATGATCCTGCATCTGGGGGAAAATGTCCAGCTATCTTGTCAAAAACATCTGATCAGAATTAGCATCCCTGTGAGAAGAGGCAATTTTGCTGATAGTACAAAGAAACTCTTGGCTAGTGGGCGGCTGCTGCTGCCCCCTGTAGGGCCTCCTGGCCAATATGCAACCAGAGGAGTGGCAGGCTCGTCCCTTCTGAGACTGCTTTGGATGCCAGCTCTTCCTCTGCAAAGGTGCGTTATTCTGTTGAGGAGTTGCCCTCTTAGAGGAGGCCTGCAGCTGAAGTCAACAGAGACCTCCAGTGTCTATTTGCTTAGCTCACTGGGACTTCAAGGCCATAAAGGGGAAGAGGCCACAGACAACAGGCTTTGCAAGTGGATAGTAATAGAAAAGCACATGTCAAATGCCAGTGATGAAATTAGTCAATATTGACTTTGGCTTCAAAGAGGGATTTGGCGCAGGAGGAGATGGAGATATGGAAGGGGCTTTCGCCTGTCTGCACTCCCTCCTTTCCTGTGACTCAGCCACTTGCTATGGAGAGTCTTTTGCTGTCTTTATCTTCCTACTCAAGGCATTGGGTGGGTGCCTGGAGCTGCTGATGGACACAAATAAGATTTTTAGCAGTACAGCTTGAGGGATGGCCAAGAATGGGTGTGGGGAAGGCATTAAAGCAGCCAAGGAGGAATGAAATGTACTCATTAAGAAAGCAAGGAGAAAAGATAGATAATGCAGTGCTAGGTGTTGGGGAAGGCCACTACTTAGTTCCTTTGCCATGACTTATGAAATATTTCAGTAGAGTCCAGCCACTTTTGGATCTAAAAGCAGAAATCTTCTTGGGATCTCTTTTTCCTTGGTGATCTGGGGTTGTGAAAGAGCAGGGAGAGGGGAATCAGATTCATCTTGAAGATGGAACATGGAGGGGCTGTTCTGATGATTGAGAATCTGACACAGAAGGATTGCCCAAAGCAGGATAAGGATGCTTGCAGAAGCCCCCATATATGATGGGCTTTGTAATTGGTTAATAAGCAGATGGTGTGGTTGGAAGGGAGGATGAATCAGGTAGAGATGAGGATTTTGCCTGTTGCCATCTCCACTGATTTCCCTCCTCCTACTCCTACCACTTTGGGCCTGCAGACACAACTATTCACATGCAGGCGGTTCCTGAGTTCATCTCCCAGCTAAAGCAAAGGAGTTAGGCTTTGGGGCAAGGTACATGTGTGGGATGCAGCTGAAATGGTGCTATGTGCTATGAGGGGGTTGGGGAGCCTGTTGTCTGTGTTCCTGCCATTGCTTGACACAAGAGTCCTTGCAGAAGGAGCAGCAGAAACGTGAGTAGTCTCATGTGCATGTTGGAAGAATGAGCAAAGATGGCTGCATTGAGGTATTTCTGTCCCCTCCGTTAAGCAGATTCAAGCCTGAGCTGTTTTTTGGATGAGGTTGTGGACAGATCCTGGGTTGCCCATCGGGGCAAGAGCATGACTGCCTGTGAGGGTTGCAAGACCTTGTCTACTGGAGTCTGAAATTCTGGAGGGAGACCTCCACAAGACTTGAGAAGGGCAGAGAAATAACTGTCTTGGAGGTTGGTGGAGCCCTGACCAGGATCTGCCAGAGGCAGAATGCGAAGACTTGAAGGGGGAGGATAGATATTAATGGGGCAACCCTCCCTTTCCTTTCTTTGTTGTTCAGTATTGGATTCTTATGATGACCTGGAAACTCTGGCACATAAATATTTACCATCCATGTCCATCCTCTGCCCCACACACAGAAAGTGGAATTTTGGAGAAGTATGAAATCCCTTTCCCCTTTAGGTATTGGTCGATAGATTGGGTTACTGACGGTTGGAGGAGAGGGCAGATCTGTTCATGATGTGTGATGCCTTCCCATTCCCAGCTGGTGCTTAGAACATTTGGGATCAATTATTGTGTTTTGCAACGTGGAGCTGATGAGGTGGGCCTCATGGATTGCATCAGGCTGCCTTAAATGCCAGGCAAAGCATTGGACCATGCCTGAAGTTAACTCTTTGGGTTTCACTCCCATCATTGCATCACATAGTCTCTTTGGTTAGATTCTGAAGGCATCCATTCTTCCACCCACGGGGCTTAAATTAGGTTGGGGGCTTTTCCTTACCCTGGAAGCAGATGGATCTCAGGGGTCAGATAAGCCCAAAAGAATTCTACCCAGATTAGATGGTTGGCTCTGGAAGGGGAGCAATGTGGTTCCAGCAGACCGTTTTGGCCTTTGTCTGAAAGAGTTAACATGCAGCCCATGTTTGTTCCAGATGTTTGGAGCCAGATGGAGTCAGAGTTGGGGGTGTCCCTGGGTGGGAAGTACAGCCCTCCACCTCAGCCAATAGCTGGAGGACTCCAGGCTGACACCCAGTTCTTGACTCTAGGCGGGTGCAGGCTTGCCATGCATAAAAGGACTTGTGTTCTAGCACTCTGGCTCTGCCTTTGGTTCAACCACATTGGACGTTCCTCTGCGCAGCTTCGCCGTCACACTGAGCTGTAGCCACATCTTTGGGTGTCTCAGGTAAGTCACCAACACCTGGGTTCCTGAACCAAGAGGCTCTACAAGTAACAATAGAGGAGAATCTTTGTAGCTCAGGGTTGAAATGAGGGGTCCTTAGTGGTCTTTGAGCTTGATTGTTTTCTTGCAAACATTTCATTGGCCAAACTAGGTAACATCATCAATGCCAACACTGAAAAGAAAGAGGTTCAAAGACACCAACGACCCCTCTACAAATAAGTTTAACCAAGGGTCATTTCAAAATTCGAGCAGCATTTGGTGCTTGCTGAACTCTTCCTAACCTTCCCTCTTGCCAGCATGCCCTCTCTGGTGAAGACTGTTGGGGATGACCTGGCCTCGTACAAGCACAGAGCCAGAGAACCCCAAAAGAAAAACAAATGAACAAGAGGACACTGGACAGTGTCAGGACCAAGGAGCTGACCTACAGTTTCCTGATTAACTGGCAGCTCCAAATGGAGTACAATCTGAGCATACTGGATGATTTAACATGGCACAATTAGTCTTTGGGTAATCAATTCCTCAGTCAAAGTTTTGCAGTTTGTTAGGAAGATTTTGCCAATATTCAATTCAGATGTGCCTTCTTGTAACTTGTGTCCATTATTCTGTGTTTGTCCTCTGGAACAAGAGAGAAAAGGTCTTGACTTTCTTCTGAATTTATTCTTTTGTAAATGGGAGGGGGAGTTTTTATATTGCTCCTCCCCCTGTGGTCTCAAGGTTAAACATATTTGTGTCTATTCCCTGATCACTCTTTTGTCTTCGGAACTGGTTTCAATTTCTCTGAAACCTCTTTGCATTGCAACCAGGACTGAAGGCAAGGCATGACTTACGCAACATGAAGTGGAACAATTTCTGCTGACAGTTTGAAAACTATAGGATGCAACCTTAAATCTTTTTGCACACAGCTGATACATACTCCCTTTGCATAAGAAATTGGGAAGTGTTCTGTGGTTTTTCATTTATATCTGGATATTGTGTGACCTCATTCTAAAAGATGGAAGAACAAATTGGGTTTAGGTGCTTTATCAGATTTTTTTGTACTGGGTTTTTATTTCCTGGATTTGGGAGGGGAGCAGCTGGGTATGTTGCTTTCCTGGCAGCCTTCAAAATGTGAACTTGGATTATCCTGTGCACAAAAGCCCAGCTTTTCAGAGGCTAAAGTGTGTACTCCCAGAGTGAGTGAGTAGGGAAAGAAGCAAGGACAGCTCTGCTGCGTTATCTGCTGACCTTTCTCTCCTTGGTTGTGCTGTGGCTGCTAAACAAGAGGAAGCCTGCTAGCATCACCCCAGGTAGCAGTTTACGTCCCTGCCCACCCCGACCTTCATCCCTCTGCTGCCGGGATCGATGGCCTGGTGTGTTTCAATAGTTGATGGCCGGCACCGGGACAGCTTTGGGATTGGCAACAGCCTCGATCTGTGTCCCCTGCAGGCTCTCCCTTCCTGAGATGGACTCCTGCCTGATCCAGGTGAACAGCAACACCACCCTGTCCTCCGTCCTAGATGTCCACGTCAACCTCAATGGGAAGAGCCCTTCTTTGCCCAAGGGAAAAGGCCGTAAGCCCCACTGGGCAGTCAGGGCTTCAGAAATGTCTAGAAGGACTTTCAATCCCATTCGAGCCATTGTGGATGCCATGAAAGTGGAGCCCAACCCCAGGAAAGCTCTGATATCTTTGTCCATAGGTGAGTAGGTGGATCTGGCTGGCCCACTCTGACCTTTTTGATACAGTCCAGCCACTGGCAATGTAGGCACCTCACCCTCTCCTTTTCTACAGGAGATCCAACTGTCTTTGGAAACCTTCCTACAGATGATGAAGTCACACGGGCCATGAAAGAAGCACTGGACTCTGGAAAATACAACGGCTATGCCCCGTCTGTGGGTGAGACTTTGGGCGCTGTGGAAAAATTCAAGGCAAAGCGGGGGAGGGTGGGGCGGCAACACTAACAGACATTGGCCTTGAGATCCCATACAAGGCCTTTTTGGCCCTGAGAGGGAACTGGGTCAAAGGGGAAGGCCTCTCCTACCTGAGCTGAAAGTCCCAGACCAGAGTACCTTTTTAATTTGCGGGAATCCTTGGCAAAAGAATGGGGGAAGGCACTAAATAACAACCTGTGTGGGCTTCTAAATCTGGAATTCAGGAATTTTCCATTTTATAAGTTTTTTTTAATTCAGCCATAACACTGTTCACCCCACCTCCCATCCATCACAGGTTACCTGTCTTGTCGAGAGGTAGTTGCAAGCTACTACAATTGTCCAGAAGCACCTCTGAAAGCCCAGGTAACAACACTGATATGTTGAGAAAGAGTAAGAACATTTTTGGGGAAAGGGGCTTGGGTCCTGAGTCCCCATCTAATTTCAAGTGTGTAATAATCATTTAAGGTTCAAATGGCTCTGATCTTTATGTGGGTCTGTTGAACTGAAAGCCATGGAAGTGCCCATTTGACTCACAGCTCCCTCCCTCCCCCCTCCCTTCCTTCCTTCCAGGATGTAATTTTGACCAGTGGCTGCAGTCAGGCTATTGAATTAGCTTTAGCAGTCCTGGCTAACCCTGGACAGAACATCCTGGTGCCACGCCCTGGCTTCTCCCTCTACAAAACCTTGGCTCACTCTATGGGAATTGAAGTCAAGTTCTACAATCTCTTGGTAAGCTGGACCTAGATGTGGGGAACCTCACCCTAACCCTTTTTCCAAAAGTGAAACGGAACCAAGGTTCAAGGCTTGGAGAACTGGGCTTTGATGGAGGAGTCCCAAAGAGAGCTGGAACAGTTGCAATATTAGAGTCAAAACCAAAGCCATATTTAGGGTGTGCATAAGAATAGCTAGAAGCGGTGGTATTCAGCCGGTTTGCACCAGATCGGTAGCAAGAAATTGGGCATGGGTCGCCGAACCGGTAGTAAGTTCTGGCTGGCCACACTCCCGACCCGGTCACCCTCCCGCCCTATGCTCACTCACTCCGCCTGCCCGCCTGACATTCGCCTAAGGTATTTTTCTCTTTTTCTTCCCTCCTAACAATGAGCTGTAGATAAGATCAGCTGTGCCGGGATTCCCCTTGCTGAGGCCCAGGAAGGCAAAGAATGGCTCAGGCCCCCCCGCCTCCATTTTTTGCTTTCCTGAGCTTCAGAGGAGCCTTAGGGGAGCAAAAACACCGCCCCCCCCCCCAGAAGGCCCAAAAACCCAGTGGGGGCTGCAAAAAAGCAAAAAAAAAAAAAAAGCCACGCCCACCCAGTCACATGCCTTCCTGGCCACGCCCACCAAATCACGCCCACAGAACCGGTAATTAAAAAATTTGAATCCCACCAGTGGCTAGAAGCCCCTGAGATAGCAGATTGGGTCACCAAACAAATTGTTGGAAAAGAGAGAGGCTTTGCAAGAATTAGAAACAAGCTCTCTCTGTTCAAATTCCCTTATTGTACAATTCTCAGAGAAAGAGGTAAGTTAAAAGTAACTATGATAAAAACCAGCTGTCACCAACTGGTGGTTCATGGACCACTGGTGGTCTGTGAGAAAAATTTGCTGGTTCACAGAAAAATTATTTGCATTTTTGTATTGCACTGAATCAGGGATCCTCAAACTACGCCCCCTGGGCCTCATGCTTGCAATGAACGTTCGTTGTGCTGCAGAGAGTCTCCCACTTTGGGATCTTTTTGTGCAAGTCGGATGGGGGCACAAATCCTGACTTGGGGTCTGCTTCAGCCCTCTGGTGCAGGGCTTTGGGGCTGGAGGGCAGCGCCACTGGTGGCGAAGAGCCTCCTTGTTCCAGTGGGACTGCATCATGGCCTGGAACTGGCTGACCATCTCAGCCCACTGAGCCTCCAGGCACCAGTACCTGGCCTTGCACTCCCGCAGGTTTTCCCTCTGCTTGGGAAACCTATGCTCATAGTCCTCAGTGAGGTGCTTCTGCTGAGCCTCCTTGGTCAGATCCAATTTGAACTGAGCCAACTGTTTTGCCAACTCTTTCTCCTGGGGGCTGCTTAGCTCCAACAACTGCTTCCTCTTGGGGCTCTAAGGAACCTGGGCAGGCAGGCGAGGAGTGGCTGGGAGGGGAGGGGCAAATAGGGGATGGCAAGGCACCTCTCGACGTGAATGACATCGCGTTGGCCATGCCCACCCAGTTACATGACCACCTAGCCACGCCCACCCAGCCGGTCATTAGGCAGATCATATTAGTGGTCCGCGGGATTTAAAATTATGAATTTAGTGGTCCCTGAGGTCCAAAAGTTTGATGACTCCTGATCAAAACCAAAGTTATTCTTATCTTAGATCAACCATTGTTTATTCCTGTGTGATATGTTTATGACCAACATGTTAAATTGCTTGCTTGGAAATTTTTATCTTTTCCTCCAAGACAACATCCTGCAGCTACTGGTCAACAAACTTCATAGTACTCTTCAGCTCTTGATTATATGAGCCATATATTGGGATTGAGAAAGAAAGCTTTCCTTATACAATGCTGTGGTTCCTTGGCTGGCCACCTGTCCCTCTTGCTCTCCCCTTTACCTGCCTATCACTTTTGACCCAGGCAGGGAGCTAAACCCCCATAGCCAGAGTGAAGATGATTGTCATTTGATTTCAGACTTCCTCACTCTCTTCATCTTCCTTTCCATTTTGCCACCAGCCAGAAAAATCCTGGGAAATTGACCTGAAGCAAATGGAATCTCTGGTGGACAACAGGACAGCTTGTCTGATTGTGAACAACCCATCCAATCCCTGTGGCTCTGTTTTCAGCAGAAGTCACCTCCAGAAGATTCTGGCAGGTAATTCCTCTGACCAGCTTTGAAACTGCCTCATGCACGTGTCCCTGTGCTAAACTCTGTGCTGCTTTGCATGGGGTAGGAGTTGTTTCAAGAGGCTCCAAGCTATGGAGTCCATCCAAGTTGTGGACACCCAGTGAATAGCTGAATATCTTCCTTCCTTCTTCTTCTGTTGCCCAGTGGCCTCTAGGCAGTGTGTCCCTATTTTGGCTGATGAGATCTATGCAGAAATGGTGAGCGAGGAGCACCTTTTGTCTGTCTAGAGGAATGGAGAAATGTCGGCGGAGGGTGGTGGTGGTTCTGCTGGAATAACATGACAATGGCAGAGGGTGGCCTTTAAGAGAGGCCTGCTTTTGTGTCAGAGACGGAGTATGGGACGCTATTCTCCGGGTCTTGACCAGACACTAAATGGGATTCCTCCAACTCTTCTTCCATACTCAGGTTTTTGAAGACTGCAAATATGAGTCCCTTGCAAAGCTTAGCACTAATGTCCCAATCCTGTCCTGTGGAGGCCTTGCCAAGAGATGGTTGGTGCCTGGCTGGAGGATGGGATGGATTCTGATCCACGACTGCCGGGACATCTTTGGAGAGGAGGTAGAGAAATACACACTTGGCTGGTGGGTTGCCCAGGTCTGCTCCAAGAGGGAGGAGGAAGAGCTGGCACTCTTGGTTCCAATCCAACCATTGCCTGCAATGTTTATCCCTACTTCATGTGCTGCCCCTCTTAATGCTGGGCAAGAGGGTTGTGGAAAGCCTGGTGGTGGTGGTGGTGTGGGGGGGGGGCGACCTATAGGCAGGAATCTGATGCTTCCCTCCTCCTCCTTTCTCTGTGTGCCTTAAAGATCAGGGAAGGCCTCCTGAGGCTGAGCCAAAGGATTTTGGGGCCCTGCACAGCTGTCCAAGGAGCCCTTGGGCATATCTTCCACCACACATCCCCTGAATTCTATCACAACACTCTCAGCTTCCTCAAGGTAGGTAGGCCTCAACTGTTTCTAAGAACACATTGCAATAGAGGTTCTTCTCAATAGAAAGATGCCAAGGCAGACTCAGTTTCCACTAGGCTGAATGGGTCAATTGTGACGGGGAGGTTAATAAACTCAGTAGCTCAAGGGCACTAAATTTAATCCCAAACAGGTCCAGTCATGCATTGGCTTCAATCAAGCGCACTCAGTCATTTTTATTGTGGGAACATGTAGACCTGGACAGTTGACCTGTTCGTTTTCCAACTTTGTTCTCCAAGAAAAATAGCAGGAGAAAGAACAGGGAGAAGCCAAGCTCACCCATTCAGAACTTGCTGCCAACACCTGCAGCAGAGCGCCCTTCCAAAACACGGGTGCAGCATTTTTTTCCTTTTTCTGATTGAAATGAAAAAGACAGTGAAAGCCAAGGCAGTCCCAAGTTCGCAGAGCTCCTGTCTGACGGCCCTGAACTTGGCAGTGATTCCTTTCTGCCCAGCAGGTGACCTGCGGTGGGAGATGGACACTAGTCTTCTTTTCAATGTCAAAGAGTTAAAAATGGGGCATTAATATATTTCTGAAAAGACACTGAAGGGAGAAAATATTTTGTTTTGTTTTTCACCAGTTTGAAAACAAACTGCTACCAAGGTGGTTTCAAGAAAAGATCCCTTTAATTAGGAAATCTGGATTCTACAACACTTTCTGTTACTAGGAAATCTAAGAGTCCAAAGGGATTTCAAAACACAGTGCCTGCAGCTCTGGAGATGTGAAGGCCTGTGTGCCAGAGGCCTCTTTTTCGTTCTCCTTTATCGCCTAAAACAACTGAGCAGGACCCACGTGTGCTCACATTACATCTGTTGCAAGCAGAGATTCCATATTTCACCTTTCTGGCAGTCCATGTTTAATCACTCACTGTCCTCTTTGGTGGGCCTGGCCAGTTGTGTGAGTGAGGTTTCCTTGTCTGTTATTTGACTTCCTCCTGATTTGCTCTTTCCAGTCCAATGCTGCCCTTTGTTATGCCGCCCTCTCCACAGTCTGTGGGCTGAAACCTGTCCGGCCCCAGGGAGCCATGTACCTGATGGTGAGCTACCTGCATGGAGGGAGTGAGGGAAGGGCTGTTGGTATGGAAGGTGCTTTCTTTCCTTCCCCAAAGACACCCCAGCAAGGGCTCTTCTCTGGGGGAGGTCTTTGCTGTGACCAGTTTTCTATCCCTGTGGCTCTAGGTGGGGATCGAGATGGAGCATTTCCCAGAGTTCGAGAACGATGTGGAGTTCACAGAGAGGCTCATTGCGGAGCAGTCGGTCTTCTGTCTACCTGCCACGGTGAGCTTGTTACTCCATGGGAAGACTGTGAGTTCTCCTGATGGAAACTCGGCCTGGCCTCAGCTCTCCTCTCAGCTCATTTTCTTTTCCCTAGTTCTTTTTGCTGGCAGTGATCCCAGGTCCACATTCCCGGAGGCCGGTATGAGAGGTGCTACAGTGTCCTTCTGGCCAAATGTTCGCTAGGATACCCTGGAGACTTCCATGTTCCTTGCTGCACTATCTCTTCCCTCCAGTGGATTTTCATATTAGAAATAAATGGGGGTGGGATCCTTCCCTCTGCAGCTATGTCTGCAGCTTGGTGTCCTGGTAGCAATCTTGGAAGCTATGGGAGATGAAACAGAAGCAAGCTTTTCTTTGAAAGCAGAAAGAAAACTATATCTGGCCTTGGACATGGGCTCAAGGGGGAATAAGCACAGTGGGATTTGTAAAATAAAAATAAAAAACAAGCTCTTTCTCTTGTCCCAGCTTTCCATAAAAGGGGTCCATGGTAGCAGCAAACAAGCAGATTTACAGGGCATCAACCCCCAGGGCTCTGCTTGGGAAGCTGGGAAAGCCCCAAGGGAGTCCAGGGGCTAATGGCTCAACTGTCTCTCCTGACAGTGTTTTGAGTACCCCAACTTCTTCCGTGTGGTGATCACCGTGCCCGAAGAGATGATGACAGAGGCTTGCCAGCGTATCCACTACTTCTGTGAGAAGCACTATCAAGGGGGAGAGGGGACCCAGGACCTGGAGTGTGACAAGTAGGCCTGAGCACGTGCCCCTAACCTTCTACTCCCTGAGCAGCCTGACTCGGCACCACCATTCTTGTTCTGGACTCTGAACTGCTAGGGCCTGGCTAGAAGTGGGCTGTCAGTGACACTCCTACCTGCCCAGCAGGCTCAAGTAACTCCTGCAGCAGCCCTGGGCATGCTTGACAGCCTTCAATCACCTGCTGAATGATTTCTAGATCCTATGGGAACCTGTGAGAAGGAACCTGCAAGCCAGAGCAGAAAATGCCCAACCCTTCCTCAGGCACAGAACTAACCCCAGTGCTACACAGACCTCAAAGAAGGACCATGATTTCTCCCCCACCTCAACGGATTACACCTGCAATCTGTTTTCTTGTACACACATTTGAAGTTCATAAGTTATTGTATTTTTGTACGAATAAATGCATGGTAAATTTCTAACTGCGTGCAAAAGTTATGCAAGCTCATCTTGCAGCAGGGAAGGTGTGTTACTTGGGCAGAAAGGTGTGTTACTTGAGGAAAGTGGCACAATTCTTACAGATTTCACTTGTTTAAAGCACTCAATGACATTCGTGATTCTCTTGGTTGACTTGTTAAATCAAAAGTCAGCTTTCGCCATTCCACTGGCAAACTCAAAAAATGGGGAGAGGTGGGGAGGGCACTCCCAGGGATTAGTGCACAGTAACTAAAGAGATGTTGGCCTGGGATGAAATGAGGAGCTGGAAGCCACTGGGACAAACTTGCTTGAAATGTCAGGAGCCAGAGACTGCTATGTTTTATGCACAGCAGACATGCATAAATTGGGAGGGTTGCCTTCCTGGTGGGTTGTTAAAAGACATCATTTTGGCCCCTTGTTGGACAGGAATTGGGTTGTGAGGATTGGTCCTAAGTCACTCACCTTCATTTAGCCTGGCAATGTACCACATTCCAGTTCTGTTGATATTGGAAAAAATACCTATGTTGACTTAGAAAAATTATTTCTCCACATGCTGCAAAAGTTGCTTTTAATAGGGTCAGCAGCTTGAATTTTATATAAGAGTCCACTAAGAGGATTGCTGTAAAAATCTTCTAATATGCAAGCTAAAAATAAAAAAAAACAATTTATAATATGATCATAAACATTTTGAACATTCAATCATTATTCTCACCTTTCCTATCTCTGAACTCAATAGCAAGATGCCACTTTCTGCCACTGTTGTCAGAGTGCTGGCTTGCTTATCTCTGTGTAGCTAGCAAATGACCTAAACCTTCCAAGTTGTTGCCCTGTAATCTCTCCCAGGAGGATTCCCTGGGGGGATTTTTTTTCTGGAATGTTTTCCAACAGCTCACAGCTGGATCAGGCCATTTTTTGCACCTCTTGCAAGTCAAATTTGTCTGTGTTCTGATCAATTTCTGGAAAGTTAACCATGCTGTTTGTCAGGCATTGGTGAACTCTGTACATTACTTGTTTCCAAATTCTGCTTGCTTAGGTCAAATAAATGAAGCCAGCTGATCCTGATGTCAGCTCTGGGTCTTGCTGAAGTCTTAAAGACTCGAAGAGAGTTTTAATAAGAGGGATAGAAACAAGATTACATGAAGTGTTATAATTCTTTGATAAGATCATACATAGAACATTGCATACAGTTTTGATTGCCATGATATAAAAAGGATGTTGAGACTAGAAAGAATGCAGAGAAGAGCATGATTAGGTCTGGAGGCTAAAACATATGAAGAACAATTGCAGGAATTGGGTATATCTAGGGAAAAGAAGGACCAGGGCGATATGATAGCAGTCTTCCATGACTTTAGGGGCTGTTCACAGAGAACATTGACCTATTCTCCAAAGCACCTGAAGGCAGAAGCAGCAACAATGGATGGAAACCAATCAAGGAGAGAACCAACCTAGAACAAAGGATAAAATGGCTGACAGGACAATTCATCAGTGGAACAAATTGCCAACAGAAGTGGTGGGTGCTCCAACACTGAAGGTTTTAAAGAAGAGAATGGACAGCCATTTGTGTGAAATGGTGTAGGGTCTCCTGCTTGAGCAGGGGGTTGGACTAGAAGACCCTTCAAACTCTTTTTATTCTGTTAGAGCTAGGGAAGAAGGGAGGGAAGAGGAGAAGGTGGAAAAGTCAACACCTGGCCAAAGGCATGCTGCTTGGAAATCATCTGCAATTAACTTTCCTGCCCCCTTTACTCTTCTGGTACATGAATGAATAGCTGTGCCCAGGATAGCTGGTATGCATGGGACCATCTCCTCTGGCATCTGGGAAGAGAGGCAGGTAGTTTACCACCAGTCATCCTTCAGAGTTGTGTCCTTGGCCTTGGCATGGCCCAAACTTTGATTCACAATGCATTCAGCCTGAGTTTTTGACTAAACTTGGCATTCAGTAAACCTGTTGTGTCCATTTGTACTGCAGATATAGCATGAGCAGGTTGAAAGGGAGCCTGGCTTGCATTCCAATCATTGTCTTCAGCTCTACATGTGGGAAGGGAAGCGTAGAGCATCCTTCCTAGATTTTAATTTTGGGCCAACCTCCTCAGGCATTTGTAAGGACATCCCTATTTCTTCTAGCACCTATTCTTTCCGTAGCGTAGAGGATGGCCTGGCCTAATGAGGCTCCCTCCCCATTGGCTCTCCTCCCCTTTCCTCTCCATTGTAATATGACTTCCCTTTTGCAGTCTTTTCCTCCTAGCAGCTCCTTCTCACAGCAGTGTACATTGAATCACAGCTGGCAAGCAGTGCGTGCTGCCCCTGCTCTGGGAAGGGAGAGGTTTTTTTTTCCCTAGCTGGCTACAGCCTATGAAAAAGTTGTGATCTTCAACTCCCAGAGGCTCAAGAGGTAAGTGAGACAAGTGCTAACACGTGAAGACCAAGCTGCACGTGGGGAAGAGGGCCCTAAACAGAGGTGTGAGATGCAACTGGTTTCTGTTGAATGAAAATAGCAGAGGCCAGATTGAATTATGACCCTTGCAAAATTAACAAGTATGAGATGATAATTGTGTTTACAACAGCCACATTCTGCTTCATTGACCAAGCCAATAACTACCAGCTGTCCATGCTTACCCTGCACTGTGGCCAGCAGTAGAATAAAGATTGGGCTGTTACATTAAAGAGTTGGAAACTTCCTTCTTACAATTTTATGGAGCTTTCCAAAAATCAGTTGGATCACTTATGAGATCCTATGAACTGGATATCAAGATTTGCCTTGTCGTGTAAGTTCTACAACAACTAGTGCCATTAGAACTGTAATTTTCTGATCACTCTTGGACTTCCTCTGCCTTAGAAAAGGGTTTGAAAGTGGGGTCTAGGCCTATTTCTATAGAACAGGAATTCTCAAGGCAAATAATTTTTTTAGCTGTGATAAGCAAGTGACTGTATGGTTTATAGGACAGCTACCACAAGCAACTAATAGCAGCAGCTATTGAGATAACAAGGAAACATAGTTTAGCATTTTGACACTTGTCTGTCTTCTGCTCTCACTTCCAGGCAGCCATGTTGAAGCTGAACAAGACTGACATCCTGGTGATCTTAGCAATCCAGGTAGTTCTCCTCTGTTTCATTTTTCAGCTTCAGCACAGTCCCCAGGAACAGTTGTCTCGGAAGCATATCCTCATCCTCTCCTCTTGGAGGTCTGGATCATCCTTTGTAGGGCAGCTCTTCAGTCAGCACCCCAGTGTTTTCTACCTGATGGAGCCAGCCTGGCATGTATGGGCAACTATGTATCAAAACAGTGCCAAGGTCTTGCACATGGCAGTGCGGGACCTTATTCGGTCAGTCTTCAAGTGTGACATGTCCGTCTTCGATGCCTACATGAATGAGCACAGGAATAAGTCTGTGCTTTTTCAGTGGGAGACCAGCCGAGCTTTGTGTTCTCCTCCTGCATGTGACCTTTTCCAGCGCAGTGACATCATCTCCAAACACTCCTGCAAGACACTCTGTGGAAATTATCCATTCAGCAAAGTGGAAGAGGCTTGTAAGACATATAGCCATGTTGTCTTAAAGGAAGTCCGTTTCTTCAATCTCAAGGTGCTTTATCCTCTCCTCACTGACCCCACCCTGGACCTCAGAATCATCCACCTGGTCCGTGATCCCAGGGCTGTTTTCCATTCCCGTGAGAATGTAGCAGGTGAACTTGCCCGTGACACAAAGATAGTGGTTGGGCATAAGAATATAAGGGACATTAAGCCCTATGCTGCCATGAAGGCAATTTGCAAAAGCCACATTGATATATACACCGAGGTCAAGCAGTCCCTCAAAGATCGCTACCTCTTAGTGCGCTACGAGGATATTGTTAAGACTCCCTTGGAAAGAGCTGCTCAGCTGTATCAGTTTGCAGGGCTTCCCTTCCTTCCCAATCTTCAGTCCTGGGTGCAGCATATCACACACGGCCAAGGCCTTGGTACCAAGGTTTTTGACACTGATGCCAGAGATGCAATGAATGTGTCACAGGCTTGGAGAAAGACTCTTTCTTATCTCCAAGCAGCAATGTTACAAAATATCTGCAAGGAAGCTATGAAACTTTTGGGTTACCGGCCTGCTAGATCTGAGGATGAGCAAAATAACATGGCATTTGACCTCTTTGACCCAGTTGAATATAAAAACTGCCTGTCCAGCTTCCAGTAGCTCAAAGCTTCCCAACTAGACTGCCCCAGGAAGCTGCAGCCTGTGTAAATGGATCCCAACATGAAAGGATGAAGGATCACCTGGCATTTGCCCTGCAAGCAACGTTGGAGTAGCTGACAAGGAAAAGCACCCAAAACCTCTATAGTAACTTGTCCATCGGTTCACAATCTGCACTCAGTCTGCTATCTGACTGGCAGCTGGAATGCTTCACATGGCCATGGATCTGTTCTCTTGACCTGGTTTCAGCCCCCCCCCCCACCTTCATTGTAGATAACATGTATTTCTTTATTTTTTAAATATAGCTTACTGCCTAATAGAATGTTTTTGTCAATTAACTGAGAAACATGGATGTAACAGAATATATAAGACTGTTCTGTAAAACTTTATTGTCAGATTCACATTGACCATTCAAGAACAACTTCAATCCTAATTAACAGTAAACAGTTTACTCTGGAAATAAAAATTGCACAAAAGACAATTGTCCCTACTGCAGCAGCTTTGGTGATTTTCACTCCTGGCACAAACTTTTCCTGAACAACACTCGTTTATTTACATTTCCTACTCCGTATTTTGTTTCTAAGTTATTCCTGGCTCCCTCTCGGCCTTTCAGCAAGTCCTCATCGTCCTGTCTGTTCCAAACAGGCCGCCCGTCCGGACGGCGGCCGGTCCGCAGGCAGCTGGCCACGGCGGACACTTCCCCGCTGTTCTTCAGAAAAGCGTGAGTGACCGTGGCCAGATCCACGCCGAACTCCCCCATCAAGCGCTCCATGTCCTTGACTGCCAGGGCCACGTGGGCAGCCGGGGGAGCCGGGCGCTCCTCCGGCTCCGGCGACCGGCGGCTGGCGGGCACGGCACCGGCTGCACCGATCTCCACCGTCATCTGGGCGTCCGGGGGTGTCCGCCTTCCTCTCGAATTCCCAAGGCCCGGGGAGGCGGGGGGCGCGGGCTCTCCCCAGCCGGATTGCTCGTCGTCTCCCTGGAAGGGAAGCAAATCAGAGCCCGGCAGTCAAACGTTGAGATACTCAAAGGCGCAGGTGGGGGGCGGGCAACAGAAAACGGGATTCAGAAGTTGCAGTTTCCCTCCAGTTTTACTTGCTGGCCCACCCGAGGCGCCCTTGGACGGCCAGGCAGGCTCGACGGCTCCGCTGCCCATCGGGGGTCCCGAAAGGCCCGCCCGCTTCCTCCACGCACGGGGCCCGAACTACCTGCTCGAACTCCCGGTTGGCTTCCCGAAAGAGCGCGGGCACCCTCGACCCCTCCATCGGAACTCTCCAGCAGGCAGACCCCTCCAGCCTGAGGGAAGGGCCGCTTCGGGGGTTTTCTTGGCGGGCGCCAGCCGGAAATGGAAGCCGCCACAGCTCCGCCCGGACCCTCGCAGCGCTCCTGGCGCACGTCGCCCTCCGGCCGCTGGGCGGAGCGCTGCGGCTGGACGCCCCCCCCCCCCCCCGTCTGCGCGCCTACTCCTCGCTGGGCGGAAGTCCCTCGCGTGCTTCCGACCGGCAAAGATGGCGACGGTGCCAAGCCTCTCCACGCTGAGCGAGGCCGAGCCTCGCCTTAGTAAGAAGTGAGTGTCGCTCCGCCAGCCACTCATGCTGGCCCTGGCGCGGCTGCTGTCGGGGGGCCGCCCGGCTTGGGCTCGGCGGCTCTTGAGCGGCGGCCGCAGACAGCCGAGGTGGGTGGCTGAACGGCGGGAGGGGCGGCGGGGCGGCGACCGGAGGGCGCCTCTAAAAATCCCCGGCTTTTCTCGCAGCGAACTGAAGCGGCGCCTGAAGGCCGAGAAGAAGGCGGCCGAGAAGGAGGCGAAACAGCAGGAAATGGGCGAGAAGGTCTCGTCGCACCGGGCCGACGCCGCGGGCGCCGAGGAGGAGGAGGACCTTGACCCCAACGTGAGCGGGCGGGGAGCTTGCAGCCGGCGGCAACGGGACAGCCGAGCCTCCAGCGCGGTCGGCCAGGCTCGCGCATGGCCCCGGCCCAGTGGTTGCCTTCTAACGGCCGGAAGCGAGTCCGGCGTTGCTCGGGATGGGGAGGGCGCGAGGCGTGGATGGAGGGCGCTTCTGCTTGCGAGATCGTTCTCCCCTCGCGCCTTTTCGTCCTTCAGAAGCCTTCCCTCGTTGTCTTGACAGCAATACTACAAGATCCGTAGTCAGGCCATTCAGCACCTGAAGGGTACTTGCGAGGATCCCTACCCGCATAAATTTCACGTGGATCTCTCCCTGACAGACTTTATAGAGAAGTATAGCTTCCTGCAAGCAGGGGATCACCTAACCAACATCACGGTGAGAGTGGCAGGTAAAGGCTCACTTGGGATACTGGGAAGACAGCAGCTTTCAATGCAGATCTTGTTTCCTTTCCCCCCCAGAAGACGCTGTAGTTGAGATTTGAGATAGCATTCTGCTTCGAAGTAGTAACAAAAGGGGGGAAAAAACCCTTTAGTGTGTTTTCTGATGGAAACCCAGATGTCATGTTCTGTTAAGGCTCTTTTGGAATGGAAGAAGTGTGATGATAATCGATATAGCCATTAGGGTATGTTTTTCTTTTCTAGCTCACCTTGCCAGATTGACCTTTGATGAAGAATGCAAGGGAATAGTTTGCTGTTTTTTGTTGCTCTTGTTCCTGGTTTGCTTGTTGCCTATGATGGTGTGCTTTTTTTGTGATAATACAACAACTCTTTTTGGTTCTGTTTTTGGAGGTCGGATCCATGCAAAACGTGCCTCTGGAGGAAAGTTGATCTTTTATGATCTTCGTGGGGAGGGGGTTAAATTACAGGTGATGGCAAACTCCAGGTAAGCATTAATTTCTTTTTTCCTGATCATATATTTTAGTTTTGCTTTGGTGTGTATATTTAAGAATGAGAGCCAGTTTGATGTAGAGGTTAAAGCACCAAGCTAGAAGCTGGGAGACTGAGTTGTTGTCTCACCTTTGGCACAAAGCTAACTGGGTGACCTTGGGGAATTTACTCTCAGTCCTAAGAAGAATGCAGTAGCAAGCCACTTTTGAAAAATTTGCCAAGAAAACTGAAGAAAACTTGTCCAGGAAGTTGCTTGGAATCAACAGTGCCTTAAACGCCTCGCTCTCCCCAAAATTTTTGAGGAAAGGTAGAAAGAATATGAAAATAAAACCATGGTCTGATAAGTGGTTCAAGATTGCACTAAGTAACGGTGTCCCAAATACATATATACAATCCTCTTTCCAGAAGAGGATTAAAGCAGAGTTAATCATATATACTTCTTCAACATATTCTGATGTTTGTGCATGTTATTTTAACAATTTAAGAAGGGTTGTGAGTTCAACCCCCCTTGTTTTAAGAGCTAGACTCAAAACATTTTGATAATTGTTGGTTTTGAGCTCTTAGCATTTTTAATATTGTGCTGATTTCTGTTTTTTAACAGTCGGAATCTATCTATCTGTATATATACACAAATGAAATACCACTCATCATCGCAAAATCTCCAGAACTGTAAAGCCTACAAACGTGAAATTTGGCACCCATGTTCCTCTTGGCTTCTAGGTGCTCACTAAGAAAGGATTTTTCGAAATGACCATCAGACCATTACTATTTTGTATATTATTATTAACATGCTTTGATGCTAAGGAGTTCTACTCCCCCTCCCCACCTGAAAAGAAATCTCTTCCAAATGCAAAACACAAGCAGAAGAGGAGTTTCAGTTTTAGTTTCACAGCACCAAGCAGCTTTAGTACAGAACAGTTGAGCTAAGCCATGCCCAGGCTCCTTGCTGTCTCCTTGCTCACACAGCAAATACTGTTTCAGTTTCCAAACAGTTCTCAACTCTCACACACTGACAGGATGCTAGCCAGATGAATACCGATGGATGCTGGTAGGCAGAAGCAGATTCCCCCCCCCCCCCCCCTTATTTTCCTCTTCAAAAACTAAGCCCGACCATATAGTTTCATAATGAAGCACGGATATCGAACTAGTATCTTAATATATGTTCAGTAACATTCCAGTATATTTCATGAATTAAACTAAGCAGGCAACTCAATATACTTGTGGCACAGGGGAGACAAAGATGACGGTACTACACAAGGAGAAGTTTGTTAATATTTCTCAAGGAAGTTGTCTACCTGACTGTTACTTATCTTAGTGACTGCTACCTCTGGAATCCCAGACATATATCGTAATGTCAATTGTTGCAAAACAGTTCTAGAAGAGGGATATTGTCCTGCTGTCCAAGCTTACAAATCTCCAAAATCCATCGGATTGTGTGATATAGAATGCTACACTAGATGATTGCTCCATTTGATCCAGCATGTGTTTAAACAAGTCCTTGTGGCATGGCAATCAGTGTATAGTGCCTCATTAAAATAGTTGTATGTAGTTAAATTTATAGAACAAAATTCAGATCTTGTAACTTAGTCTGAGATTGAAATTCTATTTCTATTTCTATTTCTTTGGCTAGGCTTGGTATGTAAATATTTTTTCACTATTGGAGAATCAATTTGGGGAAAAATAATCTTTATAGAAATTTCCCCTCAGCAATATAGAATAGAATGGATTGTGAATATTTAATTGATAAGGCTGAAAAGATTTACCTAGAAATGTTGTTTACTGAATTGTAAACATTCTTTCAGAAACTACAAATCTGAAGAAGAATATATATGTGTTAACAACAAGCTTCGCCGTGGAGATATCATTGGGGTCCAGGGGAATCCTGGAAAGACCAAGAAAGGGGAACTGAGTATTATTCCTTATGAAATTGTTCTGCTGTCACCATGCCTGCATATGCTCCCTCATCTTCATTTTGGGCTCAAAGACAAGGTATCAGACATGCTGCTGCTTTCTTGGCAACTTACTTGATAGTCTCCAAGAGTGCCTTCTTGCGGTATTTTATTATCTTCATTTTAATTTATTTTTAGGAAACCAGATTTAGACAGAGATACCTGGATTTAATTCTTAATGATTTTGTAAGGCAAAAATTCATAATTCGAGCAAAAATCATAACATACCTTCGAAATTTCCTGGATGAATTGGGCTTCTTGGAGGTGGGTATTTGCTTTTATATGTTAAAATGCAGTGTAGTAATTGCTTGTAGATATCTCAAAGAGCAATCTTTTATAGGAATTTACCTTGCATTGTTAAGCTTAAATTTTAGAGCAAAGACCCCAAAATACATATAAATTGTTAGAATAAAAATACATTTATAAGAGGCCAGGCAGGGATGTTATAAAATAGATTGTGGTTGGGTAAGTGATCTTCCAGGTCCTCTTAACATGGTTTGTTGAGGATGGTCAAATGCTTCAGTGCCACTACTTGGTTCAGAAGATACTGTATTTGCTGTGTGCCCAGGAAAAAGGCATTTTAGAATAGAGGAGGAAGCAATGGCAGCTGCAAAGTGGTTATTTAGAGAAACAGAGAAAAGAAAGCATTGCTGGTATTGGAACTACATTCCCTTCTGCAAACATCAGTAGTAGCAATGGGAAACTGTTAATCTCTGTGCCCGAGAGACAGTATATAGCCTTCCTGACAGAGGACATTTGTTTGAATATCTCTGAATAATTTCCCTTGATAGTTTCATCTGGCTGTTGAGTACCTGGATGAAGTGCCAAGGGATCAGGTGCCTTCTTTTAACACTTTGGGCTGGGAGATATCACTCTCTAAAATGCTGAAGTGATGTATGTGGGAAAACCTGACATAATCGACAGCTCAGAGCTGATCTATAATTTCAAAAATGGAACTGAGCAGAAATACAAGACTGAATGTTCTGAATTGCAAAGTAGTAGTGGCTAAAAATATATACTCAATTTAATTTTAATTTGACACATTTTAAGCAGAGAGTCTTAAGGCTTGTGTTTTCAGTCATGCTAATTTGATCTTTTTAGTAATCATTTGGAACTAATTTTATGTATCTCAGCATACACTACTACCTCAGTGCCTTACTACCTCATTTTTGTCATTAATAGATTATGTTCTTATTGCAGACTTTATCACTGCTTCTCTGCTTGCCTGGAATTTGAAATCTTTGGTAGACTGGATGAGGAATGTTTTCCCATTTGTTTTTGCCATCTTGTTTGTCTTCAAAATCGATTTCTCGAAGGTTCTTTATAAATGTAGAGACAATATTTTCTGTCTGTTTTTTGTTCCCCAACTAGATTGAAACACCTATGATGAATATCATACCTGGTGGGGCAGTGGCCAAGCCTTTCATCACCCACCACAATGAGCTGGACATGAACTTGTACCTAAGAATAGCACCAGAGCTCTACCACAAGGTGAATAAGTATATTGTATATTTCTATATGCTTTGGAATCTGGTTCAATATGCGGGGCCTTATCAAAACTTAGCTATAAAAATAGCTAGGTTAAATACAGGATAGTAAAAGATATTGTGTGATTTAGTGATTTGGAAATTGAGTTAGAAATTGGAAAGACTGGGTTGAATT